TGTGTTTAAAATGGCAATCTAAAACATAATTTCTTGTTATTCTTCTTACAAAGTGAACTACAACATCCTTTGGTAGTGTTCTCGTAATGGCAAATCTGGAGTTTACTCTATATGCTTTGTCTATTTACATATCAAGATGTTCTTCCTTATTAATTAACTCAACCAAAACCTTAATCATCTTTAGTCTGATGTCTTCTTCTAATTGTTCAGGAATTGCTTGAAATCTTAATTGAAATTCCTTAAACTGAGATTCCAAAATTAATCTTTCGTCCAGGTCAGCTTCATACAAAGTGTTTGCCTGAGGGATCGAGATGATCCAATCCCTACGGTTGATTTCTCTCTGTTTGGGGACCCTAAATGGACCCAAAGCCACCCCAGAGAGGTGGCAAGGAAGGAGGGAAGCCCCGCCGATCCTGGGGAAAGCTCTCCAAAAACTGACAGAAGAAAGGCTAGTGTCATGCTGCCGAAGCCAAAAAGTACTAAACTAAGCGTGATTGTAAACAGTATGACTGAACTGGATAAGAATATTGATTTTCTCTCTCCTACCTGACTGATTTCCTGAGAAAAAAAGAAAAAATCCCAGAAGTAAAAATCCTCTGAAAGTGAGGGGGGTATCTTTGTTCCACCCTCCTCTAAACGGAAGCGGCGAATTAAGTTTACAGGGGGAAAAACTGAAAGATGGACTGGTGCTGACATCTAGTGGTGGATGAAAATACTGCCCTAAATATACAGCCCAGAAAGAAAAGCCTGTTGTCATGACCTTCAGGGTGTTGATTAAACAAAGAGCAGCTGTTACAAAAGAAATAAAAACATTGTGGACTATCTACAAAGTGAGAACTACAAAACTTAGAAAAAACTGACCTTCCTGGATTATAAATATTTTTTAAATTGCGACTTTAAAGTGATTGGCAGAGAAAATACTTTTGGTCATTATGGAGCATCAGAGATCTGCAGAAAGAACATACCAAGAAAAAATAAATACTTACCAGGAGGAAATGTTTATTCTGTTACAACAAATGCAAACAATGAGAAAATTAAAAATGAATTTGAAAATTTAAATGAATGCATTCTCAATTTAATGTCACAACAATTAAATGATCAGAAAACAAAAAGAGAGAGAGATCATGTAAAGCAGACAACTGAATATAAGCTAGTGGAGACTCAAGTGGAGAAGGACTTACAAGAAACATTGAACATTGAACAGATAACTCTAAGATCACGAATTTGAGGATAAGGAAAAAGATTTGACAAAATGGATTGCTGAGCCATTGGGAGTACCACAAGAAATGGGGAGACAAGGGATGATGAGAGAAATCTTCAATGAATATGAAGGGGCAAAATTATTTTACAAAGACATGATGTTTGATTTACCTACTATATCCACAACATTTACAAGATTATGGAAAGACTCTTTGATGCAACGGAATATATTGATTGGGAGAGATGCTTGGCAAAAGAAGAAGGCTAAAGTGAGAATTGAGGAATTAAATGATGGGGTGTATCAGAGGGAATATTTAAAAGTTAAACACTTGTTTGAATATGGCTGAAGAAATTGAAAGATTTTAGTTTAAGAGGAATGAACTCTCTAAGTAAGACAGTATCTTTTTTTCTTTTTTTTTCTTTTTTTTTGATATGAGAACTATAAAAATGTGTGGGATGATTACCATAAAGGAAATGTTTTAGATATTTAAATGTAATTGATTTTTAAAAAATTCCAATAGATAACTAAAAATGGAAAAAATGTTTTGAATAAGAGTTAAAAGATTAGATGACTGGATTTATTAAATGGAACATTTAAAGATTAAACATAGATTTTTGCTGGGAGGAAGCTCTCTGTAGAGGCCACTAGCTGGGTGTCTATCACCTTACTCCCACCTCTGGGAAGGTCTGAGGGAAGGGCCAAGTTGCCACCCTAGCAGGGTGCCACCTTCTGAAGGTGGGTGAGTTCCCAGCAATGTGGATCTCCGATCAAGCCCTAGATCGAGGCAGGAGAAGTGGCAAGGGGTCCTCGGTTCCTCCCCGCATATGTCTCCGTGGCTCCATCCGGGATTTGGGAATGACTCACAGCCGGCAGCTTTGAGTACAATGGGAAGAGGTGAAGCACCACGAGCTTTATAACCCAATTCAGACTAGTCTCCCCCCCAGTATTGAAAAATAAACAAACAAACAAAAAAGATTAAACATAGATTTAATTATGGGCAAAAAGAACAGAATTTGGAAAAAGTGTATACTAGTTCAAGAGGGATACGTGTTTTAAGTAGTATATTATTTTCTTTTTTTTCTCCTTTTTTCTTTTTTTCTCCTTTTTTCTTTTTCTCTCTCACATCTTTTCTTTTTCTATGTCCTTCTTTTTTCTTACTTATTTTTTAAGATATGAAAATAGATTTAAATACTTTAAGGTAATTAATTCTGGGAAAATTTTAACCAGTAGAAATGTTTTGAATATTGTAGGGAAAATAAATTTAAGAATTGTAAACAGGATTTGTGGCGAGGCAACCAAGATGACCAGATAGAAAAGAAGCATGATATTGATGAGATTATTATTGGTAGAAATTTTAGAAAAATCTTTATATTTAATTGTTACCTATCAAATTAATAAGAATTGTATTAATTTAGGTTGCAAAGAGAATGTTATTGGAAGAAGAGAAAACCAAGCAAAGTTATTATGTGGATTTGGAATATAGAAATTAACAGTTAGTGATTATTTTGTAAATATAAACTCAGACAATATGCTGTTTACCAAATATCAAGATGTTTATTTTAAAAAATCAATACAATATATTTTAAAAAAGAGAGATACATTCTATCCTTCTCCTGTTTGATATCTCCGGTCAGATGTTGGATTTCCTCCTGAAGTTCACTTGCAAGAGCATCACTCTTAGACTTAAGCTTTATTCCCATTGTTCAAATGAGTTCATGTGTTTTAGCTATATATTCATCCCAAAAAGGTTTTAAAATTTCTATATCTCCTGATAATCACTCGATTCTTTCTGTTTTCTTGTGTGTGGCCATTTGGATAATGTATAACTGAAATTCTTAAGTTTTAAAATTAAAAGTTTTAGACTTAAAGATTTGTAACATAAAATCTAATGGGTTAATAATGCTAGTCCAGCTATTCAGGGGAACTAAAGGGTTGGTTTCCAAAGCCTTCCCTTTCTCAGGGAAACATTCTAAACCTGGAAGAATCTGTAACAGAGGTAGAGAACTCTGCTACATCCAAGGGTGGCGTCTTCTGCCAGAAGTGCCTCTTTCACGGGCTCTTTGAAATTGCTCTCCCCTGCCTGCATGTCTCTTCAGAGGTCTGTTGTGTGGGTACTGAGGCTGAGACCAACAAGCTGAAATGTGGAAACTGGTATAAAATATATTCCCCAGGACTGCCCTACTCTTTGTAGCCCACTATATCTCCTCATGCCTGTACCACCTTAATACTGTCGCCCAAAACCTTCACCCTGAAGGCTACCTTATCTTCCCCTCCAGATCTCCCTATTCTTAAGATGCAGGACCTTCCATAGCAGTCAATTACATCCATTCTAGAGAGGGGAAGCCAGGCACTCTAAGGCACCATTAGGTTACCCAGCAACCTATCTTCCTCACCATCCACCCACACCCACCCACTACAGGAAGCTTACCCCAACTGCTCTCACTCCCTGGTTATTGTTTCCTTCCCACTCACTTTACCCAACTAATAAGGCAGGAAACATGCAACAATCATCAGAGGCATCTAACTAGCAGCCAGAATTAGAAAACAAGGTATGACAAAGGGATAGGTTCAGTTGGGGTAAGGGTCCACAGCAGACTGCCATTCTGATGCTCTTTCTCACTACCCACACTAGTATTCCAAAAGTCCAAGACTTGTTTGGCCTCCCAGCTGGAAAATCTTATGAAATCCAAAAAGTGGTCTGTTCCTCTAGCCTCTCCTCCAGGTGGCTCACCCAGCAACCTGTCATCCCAGTATGGCCAGGAGACAATCCAACCTTCTAATGTGATCAATGCCCAGTCCAAAACATGGTATATTACTTCTTACTCCAACCCATTCCTTTGATCTCTGACCCCCTCCAGCCTGCTCTGCAGTCTCAGAATTGGTCAGCCCAGTCTCAAAACCCACCCAGCACACCTATCTCCCAGCAGCTTCAACACTTGGCTCATGGGCCTGACAATGCAACAAATGCAGCCATAGTAACTGATGAAGTGGCCAGAGTAGCTTGTAGCACACAGTCCCAAAACAGCTAAAAAGCTGAATCCAAATCCAATCCAATCCAGATTTGACTAAAGATATTAAAATAAAAAGTATCCAGCCATACCACCAAGATAATGTAGCATTAACCTCTACCATCTTACTGACTTACATTCTTGGCTATTTCATATAACTTAAGAAATCTCCTAAGGCAGAGTCCCTCGTGCTGCAGCCCACTACCGGGGTTGTGGGAGGTTTGGAAGTGGGCTGTGTGATCGGCAGGCTGGGGCATATGCACAGCTTGACTTGCATGCATGGCAGAGTGGCATGTGCACATGTACACATCCACTGCTTGTACGGGCCAGTTTCCCTCTCCCACCTTCTAACAGGCTACAAAGCGGTTGGGGACTGTTGTCCTAAGGCTTGGATTTTTCACAGAGTATTTATTTGAAAAGGAGATTTCAAAAAGGACAACTCTGGATTTAGGGTTGGCTACTATGAATTCCTTGAATTTATCCTCATTGTATAAGCTTGATACTTATACAATGTGTTTCAATTAAATTAATTTACAACCATGCACAGCCATAGACTGTTACACACAAATGTATTTCAATTTGCACTGCAATAAAACTAAAGTTGAAATATTTACTGAAAAGAAGCACCTTTGAATATGAAGTTCACATAGTAGAGAACTGGAAAATGAATAGCTCTGATACAGAGGATTTTTTTTTACATTTTCAAGTATTATTGTCCCAATTTTTTGTGCAAGAATACTTTTTTTCATATAATATACAATTTTTATATAGGAATCTAATGGTTCACTTACGTTTTGGGGATGCATGGGGGCTGTCCGAAGCAATCTGTCTCATACGTGTGCCATGACAGCTCAGTGCAACCAGTCTAGAAATGATTGCTGTCTTGCCAAAGCCAATATTTCCAACTATCACCACACCTCTGTTCACATTGGCATCAGTACTCTGTAAATGCATATCAATCTCCTGGAACACCCAATCCCGGCCAACAAACACGGACTCTGTGGTGATGCTAGGTACCTCAAAAAGCAGTGGTTTCAAAGAGATGTCAGGAGGTCTATAAGGCGCAAAACGAACTGCAAAGGAATAAAGAAGACATTCAGCATTCCACAATAGGTTACTAGCTAGGGAAGTAAAAAGCTTGGACTGTTTTATTTTTTCTTGAAAAAGAACAAAAATGTTTTTCTTCTTCCTCAAGGAAAAGAAAACAGATGCCTTTTGAAAAAACACTTTTAAGACAACTATGACTTCGCTGACTGAGAATCTCCACAGACGTATAAAGTTTCTTCTCCTGGACATCAGGACATCAATATAATTTTCAAATGCATATTCCTAGAGAAAACCTATGTGGGCCCTGATACTGACTAGATGGCATACAATCATTTTTTCCAATCAGAGGATTTAAAAGTGGGAATGTGGAAAGTTTCCTAATATAAGTTTGTAAATTTAATATATCGACTGTAGTGTTTTATAATGCAGAAATACTTCAATACTAAAAATCAGCACATGAATAAATTTGTTCTTGCTGCAGCTTTCTACTTATTTTAGGGTTTAACATGCAATAGTTCTTACAAGAGTTTCAATACACTGAATCATTCAATACATTTCTTAAAAACAGCAGGAATTAATTGTGGACAAAACCCCAGTCTTTTTTTAAAAAAATTAATTAATAGAAAATGTAAGGCATATTCCTTCTTTGCATTAGATAAATTTTATTCATTTTATTATTTGATAATTCACAATATTGTTTACTAATACCAAACAAAAGATTCTCAATTACAAGTTAACTAAATATAAATGACTAATGTTCTAAATATTGCCAGTTTGTAACTTGACTTATGTTTATAATGAAAGCTGGGAAGAATATTATTTTATCCTCCCAGACTCACCATTACTAACTGAAAATGCAGTAAGAAGAAATGCAAAGGCACACTGAAGACACTGAATTAGTGGTGAAATTAAGTAAGATCTTGTAAGCCACTCTATGTAGAGTTAGAACCCATGTAAACATCAGCTTATTCATCCCTTTTCATTCCAGTATTTTTTCCTGCATTACTGACACATTATATTTCCATTATACTGTTAAAGAGGAAAGGAAAAAAAGGGCAGACATTTAGGGAATAGGCTGACAGCCATTTATTAGTCAAAATCAATCCCATAAACATATCTGTACAATAAATGTAAGTATCTGATCTTTCAAAAAACATCTCACCAACAGAGATTGATCCCCTTATCATATATTTATTTGTAATATGAATAGAAGATAGAAGATTCCCCTTCACCCCATTATATACTAGCCCCTATTTTAGTTAATTTTATGTGAATTGCAATGTGATATTTATTGTTTTTCTGTTTTCTGTTTATTATGTGGTAAGTCACGTAAGTTGTCTGGTAGTGAAATGGGCAGCATATTAAATAAATAATAAATAAATTCCTATTTTCAATGGCTTTTCCTAAGATTTTGATGGGAAATTCTACTGAGATCTTAGTTGGCTCCAGGAATAGGAACCTTAGATAGAATTGCACCTGAGCAGCTTCTCCCTATGATCCAGGGGGAATTCTTCATTTACTGAGTAAGCCAGAGATTACTGTATGCAACACAGAAAATGTCTAAAGTGACACTGACTAAAGGTAAGGAGTAAATTTGACTGAACATGGATAAAAGCTTACTTAGTGAAGAGCAATAAAAAAGCAATATTATAATGCATCTTCAGTCTGTCTTCTAGAGCTCTGTTTAAAGTAATATAAACTCTTTTAACAAAGGAGGGGCCATAGGAACAGATATTGGGTTGCTGCAGCTAATCTGTCAGATATCTGGAGGATAAAATCATTCAAATAACCCTTTTTGGGCAAGTGCTATAGAAGGCAAAAAGAAAAAAAAACTGCCTTTGGTTTTGATTAGGATTATGATTAAAAAATTTCGCAAAATACTATAATGTTAAAGGAGATATTAGAAGAATGGAGTAGTAGCCAGAATATCAATAAGAATAGTAATGATGTCTGCTTCTGTGGATAGACTATGTTTAAGGGATGTTAATGAAGAAATCAAAGATGTGAAACAAATCTTGCTTGATATGAAATTAGTGAAACCAGAAATACCGGATAAAAAAAGTGTGGATTATGAGATAGAGAAGGTATTTATAGTAGGAATACAGGTGGTAGACCAAGAGAAAGGCCCGAGCCTCCAAAGATGAAGTGAGGAAAGCTAAGGCTCAAAATGAACTAAAGCTTGCGACCAAAGACTTAGATCCTCCGGCCCGGGACCATCGGCTGTTGTTATGTAATGCCAGGTCCGTGGTAAATAAGGCCCCCCTCATACAAGACCTTATTTTAGAGGGGGGTGCGGACCTGGCGGGCATCACTGAGACCTGGCTGGGCGTGGAAGGAGGAGTTCCTCTTGTAGACATCTGCCCGCCGGGTTTTCAGGCATTCCATCAG